AGAATCATAGAAGATTAGGGATGGAAGAGACCTCAGGAGGTCATCAGACCTCTGCTCAAAGAATCCCCACATTTGGAGAGTTTAGAAACAAATCCAAACTTTAGTGCTTAGATGTATTGCTAATTAGACAATAGCTAAAAATCACATGCGACTTGAACCCCAAGTGCCTCCCCTATTTTCCTAACATTTTTAAGTTACGTATATGAATTAATGATAACTGAATCTCAGGTTCATGGCCTAATACCTCAATGCCCTCTTTAGAGGGGTTATTACCAGGATGCCAATGCTACTAAAATGAAGTTTTCTTTGCCACAGTACCTTGGCCATACACAGTACACTGAAGTTGATTTCAGTCCACTCAGCATCTTATTGCTAACGTGCTAAATGGGTTAGAGGAACTAGAATGAAAGTTAATTAAAAAATGAACGAATAAGCAAACATGTAAAACACTTTAGTGCAAAATACCGAAATGAAAATAAACACTTTGGGGGGAAATCAAAGTTAAAAAAGGTTTGTTGCTTTTAACAGCAAATTAATGAAAGTTATTGTGAATCTAGTCTCTTGGAAAACAAGTGCAAAGTTGTACTCAAAATAAGCACATTCAAAGCTTGATCTGACTTATCCATGAAAAGGGCACCATAGCATAACACAAAAAGGACTAAGATTAGTATTACAGTTAGAAACAACATTTTAAAATGCCATTTTTCCATCTTACATTGGAGCTGACTGAAATAAAGGCATAGTGAAGTACATGGAAAACACAGCAAGAAGTGGAATACATACGATAATATTGATATAAGAGGGCACAGAAGAGAGGGTAAATATGCTTTACTGCATTGTCTGAGTTTAAAATGTACCCTATAAAAAGCAGTAAGCCACATTCAGATGGGGATGTCAAAGTTAATGACAATATATGGCACTGTAAATCAGAAGATTTGAAAGATTAGAGCAAAGTATCTATCAATCCTGAAAAACATAATTATTTTAGAGGGAAGGAAGGGAATAGGCAATAGATTGTGCTTACTTTATCCTGGGGGAGAAAAATCAATTATGTAAGAGGCCAATAATATTATGCTGCTAAAAGAGAGAATTAATGGTACCTGTGTTTTATGTTATGCGAGATCTTTGCAGTCTTTTGTTGAAAATATTTACAAATTATGATCTATGTGTTGCAATGAAATTAATGCATGTTCATAAGTCATTTTAATAGTAAATAAGTTGTTCTCAGTACTGTATGTGAACACATATTATGCAATTGTATATAGGCACATATATCACTTTCTTGGATGGATATAACTCAGTCAATTGGCAGTCCAACCTGATGGACCCTTTGCAGATTCACTTTTCCTTCTATTTCTTTGTCAGCAGCTTCTCTCATACCTCCTTCACTAAAATGTCCTATATGTACTTGACTTTTTTTTTTGTCTTTTGAGTTTATTTTAATCTAATATTTCCCTATCACATTAATTAATACAGGAGAAGGGATGGTCCTGTTATTAAGGTATGGGACCTGGCAGATCTGAACTCCATTTCTGGCTCTGACAAAGACTTCTTGGGCAAGTAACTTCACCTGTCTGTGCCTCAATCTATCCATCCAGGAAACTGAGATGACAACTCATCCCTGCATGGAGATGTAGTGAGGATTAATTCATTTATATTTATCCTTAGTCAGAAGCAAGTATTAGTAAAATTTCTGTTTTGCCTTGTTATATAAGATATAATAAATACAATATGTTACAATAGAGAAACAGTTCTAAAATATACTGTTTCATTACCCACTCTTTTAGGTCTGACCTTTTCAATTCAATCTAGATCTTCAAAGTCTAATTACATAAGAGCATGTTTCTAATCTCAATATGGTAAATATATTTTTAGAATTATGGAATTTTCCTTCATGTAAATGTGAAATATTACATATCTGCCACTATGGGTAGGCTGAGAAGCTTGCTCTATTTCTGATTATCTGTAGTAAACAGGATTTATAGGCCACATGATTAGTTCTCGGAAGTCTTTTCCTGTACGAAAAAAATCTCTAAATCTATGTGGCTATAGCTAGATTGTGCAAACCCTGGTGAGGTTTAAGGATTAACATGAGATATTATTGGATGTAAGTACTGAACATGTGCATTCTGATTTTTCTCCAGTTATTAAGTTAGGGCATAAATTAATGTCTCTAAATCTACTCTTCAATTGCAAATGTTCTAAAAAAAATCTGCTTATGCATATTAGGTAGATTTGAGTACTATTATACAAGAAAGATTTAGCACTGAAATACAGCTGCCATTGCCATATTTTTTGTATTTTCTAAGACTATTTTAATTGTAGTGTGTGTGGGGGGGGGGAGAGAACCTGGAGATTTAACCATTTCATTTTCTTGTCCCATCTGATCACCCCATGGGGAAGGGGAAAAAGCATCTCTTTTCTCTAAGGCTGTGTTGTGTGATCTAGGCCTTTTTTGACTGATGTCCACAGAGCTATAACTTACAACTTCATTCATGGACATATTTTTGTCCCCAAATAATTCCAGATTAATCCCCAAAAATAGCTGTGCAGCCACCAAGAGGTTCCTCAGAGGTTGCAGACTCAGAAGACACTGGAAATCAACAAAGACAGCCACTACCAACACCTTGGGCTGCAAGTGTTGAATGTGGAAAGCTCCCAGGCTCTGCCACTCAAGGAAAAGGAGTCCACAGGTTGTTCTCCATCATGAATCTCCAATACAGAGCATGGCATTGTCATCAAGTAACCAATCAATCACTTACACTTAGACTGTATAGTACCATTGATGAGAATATTTCATAGCCAATTTAAGTCTGTAAAATTAATGAAAATCATGGAAAATGACGGCAGTTGAAAAGGGAGCACAGTTAAATTACCAAAGATCTGCCCCCAAATAGGGAAGTCTGGAGAGGAAACAATGAGCTATTATGATGTAGGAAGGTTACATGAAACCTGATCAGTGCCTGTTGAAGCCAATGGAAGAGTTCCCATTGTGTTCGTGAGGCACTGGATCAGGCCAATAAGCAATATAATATCAGTGAAATATTAAACACCAGTCTTTGTGTCATAGAAACCACTGGAGATCTTTCATCCTGAAAATAATGTAATCAGAAATTCTGATCCCAACCATTTATTGTATTTTGAATTTTTAAAAATTATTATCTACACAGTAATGGAATCATATTGGAAAGTTACTGGTACATGTTCTGAGTACTTGAAATGTACATATTTTGGAGGTATGTGCTCCAATTATTTTCTGCAGTTTTTCCTTGACTTATTACTCTTGAATTATTTCAGAGTAAACCAAATATGCTTTTTCTGGCCTCAGCTTTTATATAAAACCCTATATTATGAAATTCTGTTAAGGACGTCACATATAATTTAAAGATGATATCTTGCCTGGTTATAGGAGGTATGTGGGTGAAATCTGGGCAAACATGGTTAAATGTAAATTTCAAATGGAAGCATCAGAAAAATATCACGGGGACCATATTATGTATTAATTTTAAAATAGTCATTTTCTGACCAAAAATGTAAGTTGTGCATTCATCTGATGAGTTGACATACCCCTTAATTCCTTGCCTGGCATTCATTTTTCAAGCAAATAACATACTGAAGTCTTAATTCAGAAAGTAATAATGATGAAAATTAAATCAGCCCTTCCGTTCATTTCAAATTCACACCCTTTCAGAAGGGAGTAACTTATTCAAAGTGACACTGGTATATTGTAGCAGCCAACTTATATAAAGAAGTATGTTGCATATTTTATTCTGAGTCAAGCCAAAACAATTTCATCTCATTGCAAGACCACCAAATTTTTCCCTCGGATAATAGTTAAATAATTGCACATGTATGTTTGAAAGGAAAATGCTTTTGTGAAAGTACCTGTTGTATTAACTAGTGAGTGTTGGATTTGTGTGAAATTCATCAATTTCAGTACATGTGGGGAAAACTGAACACTTCTTAGTGTTTTGAACAAACCTGAAAACCAAATGTAAGCACCTGCCAAGACTACTCAAGTTCAGACCCACAATGTTCCATGTGGGGAAGGAGAAGCTGGTGCAAAACTCAGTAACTAATTTACTCAAAAGGTCCGAAAGATGGCCCAAGTTTCAGGTTGATAACTAGACAGGACTTGAAAGGTTGGCACAGCTCTAATTAATGGCCATAAAATTAACTATTCAGATTACAACAACAGCTTTCAGCCAAAAAAGTCAAGGATAGCCATGCATTCACCTCAGGAGACAGAATTTGTCTCTCTACATTACAGATTCTTTCCAAATTGGAAATGTATTTTATTCAGATTATCATTTTGCAGACTATATTATTCAAGTAAATTATCCAAAGCTCAATCCTTGACTTCAATATTTGTTTTTTGAGGCATAATCAGGCCTCAGATCATCAACTGAATGTAATGTTGATTCTATAATCATTTCTGAAACCTCAAGCCATTTTGGCCTTCTTTTGCTTATAGGTATCTGAAGACATCCTGGATGTTTATGAACAATGATAATTTCTTGGAGATTGTTTCACACTTGGGGTTTATCAGGAGGCCAAAGACTGCAGACTGAATGCTTTCAGATCCTATGGAGTGCAGTGATTCCCTGAGGCATGGCCTCCATGCGGAGTTTCTTTGATGCTTCTAAGGCAAAATGCCTCCTTCCACACAAAATGGGGCTGCATAAGTGCACAGATGTGTGCATGCAAATCTACAACTAATAAGCACAGAATGCACACTTCTTGAACACATCTTTGGAGTTCAATTACCCCTCCCCACAACACTTTTCAAAATGTGCTTTTTCTGAGCATTAATGATCTAGGTTAACTAATAACATGATGATAATAATGCTTCTGATACCATGGCTTCACATCAAAAAGCTTTGTGTGTCCTGAACTACAAAGCCATTCTTTCTCTCACTACTATTATTTTCTCATCTCATCCTCAGACCAACCCCCCTTTTTAAAAACTCTTAAGAATAGTAGACTCCGTTTATATATACCTTGTCTCCAATGGTATATTACTATTCAAGACCCAGCTGTTATGCAGATGTACGGAATCTTGCGTACTGGTTGGAGGGGTTTGAGCAGCTGGACTGGGCTGACTGCGGGTGGTCATTGATCTTTTCTGGAGAGAATCTGCTGTTGGAGGTGGTTTTCTGCTGCAGGTGCATGCATGTGGTGGTGGTGGAGGGGGTGGGAGTGGTCTGAATGTGAACTGGTTACGTGGGCTGCCCGGTATATCTAAAAAAAACAAACCAGAAAGAAAAGACAAACAAATCCATAGAGTTACTATTTTAAACAGCAATCAGAAAAGCATGGTATTATATTTAACAGGATTACAGTATTGTGTAGTAGAGGTTAAATTTCAGGCTGTCTGTAAAATGTTATTGTAACATATGAATTCATTTAAAATCCTCTTATGAAATAAAGAATATTCACAGATTTGAATTTGTATGTAAATTCTTCAGTGCTGCGGTGGTTAAAATAAATGAAGCAGCACTCACGTAATTTGTCATAGCATTTTTTTTGAACAAATAAATCAGAGTGACATTGAGTTACAGCACAGAAACCATCTGATTTCATCAGCTGTAAATCCCATTTAGGAAAATACCTGTGAAAGAAACAGACAGGTTACAAGAATAAACATCCTGCACTTCAAATCAAAACAGAGAATAATTCAATCAAGCCCTCTTCAAAACCACTAAGTAATAAACATCTCCCATGAAATAAGGTTAACAGATTTACACTACTATGTTAATATATTTGTCAGTTAGGCCTGGGAAAAGGTTCTAGCAGAGACTGTCAGTGAGGCAATAATGACACACACCTGGAGAGAAGGTTCTGTGGTATTAAAAGCAGAGGAGCTGGCAGTCAACATCAGACCAGACTGTAAAGTGAATGCAGCTCTTAGTAGGAGCTTTAAGGAAAGGCTGTTGTGTTTGCATAATCACTGTTCTGTTACTTGCTAGTACTGTTGTTGCCCAAGACAATTTAGGAGTGTCCTCCTGCTGTTGCTGCTACCTTGAAGACACTAAGCACTTGTTTCTACTGTTCACTCAGGAGAGACTCCAAAATCTATTATGCAGGAGCAAGAGAGCCAGGAGAAAAATTATGAGCAGCTGAGCAAGGAAATCCCTCAGAGACAGTGTGAAGATGCTACCATTACTTTTTAAGGATTGCTGTAACTATTGCTTTACTAACAAATAGCTGACAACATCTGAATACATTGCTGCCAGTGAACTGTCATGCTATTGACAGGAAAGACCTCCAGCCCCTAAACTGGTGGCTCACATTTGCTAATATTCTTGCTGCCAGGAAACTTCTCACCCTTCCATAGAGTGTAACTAACTTTTAAGTAATACATTACTAACCCTTAAGCTTGGAAGACTTCAGTCTTTGTGTTTGCATCATATTTGCCACAATGAAACCTGCCAGTTTTTGCATCCTATTTTCATACACACTTGTACACACACAGTCATGCTGACTGGTATGGAAAGTTTCCAAGTGTTCTTCAGAAAGGAAAGGGAAGAGCTCTCATGGCTTTTAGGCCCTGAAATGTCCCATTCCAGGAACCTGTCTTAGACACACATGTGCCAAGGGCAATGCACTTCCTATGGGAAACATTTTACCTCCATGTTACACATTCCCACCCACAAGATAGAATCTTTTGCAAATTTCAGTTTGCATGATAGCAATCAGATCAGGAATGGAAATGTGGCCGGAGCTGGTATGAAACAGTTATAATGACCTTAGGGACAGTTACCAGGCAGCAGTGATCCAACAAGTTAAACTTCCTCCTGCAATGGGAAGTTCTGGAGTCTACTGCCTCTTCTTTCTCACAGCCAACTGCACAGTCACTTCTAGTGTAAGCTTTCCCAGATGGTGGGGCACAGCCCAGAAATTAGCTTTGAGGGGATTGCCTCATACTGACTGAGAAACCTCCATTGCCCACAGGGAAAAATAAGTCACTGACCTCCAGTGGAGCCCAAACAAGCACCTCTCTTCAACTGCCCCAACTGCTTCCGCTGCTCTGTCCCCTCCCTATGCTAACCCAATCCCACAGCTGCTCTCATTCTTCCCAGACAGCCCAATTTAAATTCTCTGTTTCAATATGCAATTCCCCCGTAGGCTCAGTGCTTGTGGCATTCCCTGTGAGTGTGGAATGTATGCTGTATGTGTTTGTTATACAGTAACTTCTTTTGGTTGTTGTTTCCAAGGGTTTTTATTTTCATACCAGTATCTCATTCTAGCAAGGCTACTTAGGGTGGAATTCTGATGATCCCCAGATCCCTGGAAGGAACTACCTTTGTGCTTCATTTTCAGCAAGTATTTTGTTAGGAGCTGTGACTGATGCATTGTCTTCATGCTGGAAGGTGAATGGTCTTTTCTGAATAGTGACAGCTGGTTTAGATGGCAGGTGACAAATGGCATCAATTTCCTAATGACACACAATGCTAATCCCAACCAGAGGAGCAAGAGCCAGTGTCGGGAGTCAAGCCAAGAGTCAGAGCCAGAGTCAAAGGCCAGGGGCAGGGATCCGGAGCAAGGAAGGAAGGCAAGAATCAGGAACAGGTCAGGAAAGCAGGAACTAGGGACAAGTCATGAAGGTAGGGCTCAGGTGTCAAGCATGAAGGCAGGGTCCAATGTAGCAGCCACATAGGAATTCACCTAGTTGCACGGACAACTTCCTGTCTCTCTTTCTGGCTTAAATAGTGTACCTTGGCCCAATCAAGGACTCTGGAGTTCCTCCTGTCAGGTTCCTGCTGGTAGTACCTTTAGTGGAGTGTAAGGACTTAGGGATCACAGTTCTACAGTCCCTAGTAGAGCTGTTGGGTGGCATTGTGGATGTGGCAGCAGCCTGGAAGCCTGTGGGCACCTGTGGAGGATTTGCCCCTACAGTATTAGGATTCAAAATGTACTTGTGCATTATATTCCATGGGGGATCCTCACACCTAGTTTATATATATCAGAAAACAATTCCTAAGCATCTTAGAAAATTGGAGACCTCAGTAAATTAAATCACTTGAGACAGCAGTCCACAGCACTTACATAATCTACTAAAACACTTTATATAATAATTAATCTTAGTAAATCTGACATCCTGGTATCAAAGAATTAGAGGCTTCCAAAATTTTAGACACAACCCATTTTTGTGGTGGGCCATTCCCATCCTTCCCAGTAATTGATCAAAGCCCTTCCCTTATTTTGCCTTGTCATAATCGAACATTCACTCCAGAGAAAGTTTGTTGGGTTGCCGCTTATCCCATAATTTGCATGACAGCCCAGAATTTATGTACCTGATCTCTGCCATCCCTAAGAGCCAAAATCTTCAGGACATTCACAAATTGAGGCTTCCTAATTGCCATAAGGCTGGCAATAGCCATTTCAATAAAGGGACACATTTTGGAAGAATCAGGATGGCACTGGACAAAGCACCAGCTTTAACAATTAGAAATTGTTCAAGTCATGCTTCTAAACCCAGTCAATTAGGTAGCCTCTCTCTATTCACTTCCATGATTAAGTGCTCGCAGTGTGTTTGGCTGTGTACAGACACAAGGAGACAGGGCCTCTTTCCTGAGGAGGTTACAATCAAAGGTAAAGGGGTCTCATCTTAAGAGGTACTGAGTGCTTGAAGATGCAGTAACTGCTAAGACCTTGCATGGCTCCTTCTAAAGGTGATGGGTGGAAGAATTGTAGGATCCATATCTAAGTTCCCTCTTAGCTGCGTGGCCACACAGCAGACTATCAAGGGCTGTGCAGGTGGGAAGAGGCGCCTCTCCCCCGGCCCCGTGCTGCAGTGGCGAGAAAGGGATGGGGAGAGTCCTCTCTCCCTGCCGCAGCCCCGGGGCAGCCTGCACCCCAAATCCCTCAGCCCCGGCCCCACCCCAGAGCCCACACCCCGAGCCACAGCCCCCCACCCCAACCCTCTGCCC